TCAGAATCAAAAGAGTTATAATCCAATTAATGCCGAGGGTGGTGAAGGAGTGCAAATTGTTTCCACTTCTGAATTTAAGATAAAGATTAGCCTATTTCCGACACACGCTTTTTTACTCTCCATTTACTGCAATAATTTTGTTGATCGTAGGTTGAATAGAGCACATGTGAACAGGATTTGATAAATTAATTCACTTTAAATATAAACTTAAGTAATAATGTATATTGAATTATTAGTGAAAAAATTTAATTTAGATTGTAAATTACTACAAGCCAGTTAAAATATGGTACGTAATTATAAAAATTATAGACAACATTATTGAAGCAATTATTTTGGGTAGAAAAATCCAAGGTGATATTGTACCAATACCAATATATTGTGCTATATATTAATTCTTTCTGAATATGGTATACTTTTTAAAAGACTTCAATTTTTAACGCGTGTGACTTATGCTATGATCATAAATCACAAAGGCAGACGATGATTTTTTGTGTGATAAATTTGGAAAATCAATGTTTTAGTCGTGAATAAACAAAAAATCATTTATTTTTACATCCACATCTACAGGTATGACTGAAAAATTGTATAACCCTTGGCATTAAAATAAATTGAGCTTTTGGAAATAAATTTGCAGTGTATAATTTTTAATATAATTTGTTAAATGGATAATTAAAGTCTTAACTGTGGGAATTGAGAATAATCATTTTATTTGAAACAGTTCTACATTCAACATCACTTATATATTGGTGTAAATAGTAATTCAAAAAACAGTAATTATTATTTTTAACTGAACGGTACAAATATTAGTATTGGATATTGGATATATATATATATATATATATACAGTGGCGGCGCTAGACCATTCGTGGGCGTCGGCGAAATTCGTTTGCGAGGCCCCCCTTTTTTGCTAGTTGCAAGTTGCTAGTGGTACATGGCATCGTGCCTAAAGGCAAATTGCTGAAACTTTTCGTGCCGTAATTTAAATTTTTGAAAAGCTTTGAAAAAATTTGAAAAGTGAAAGAAATTGACATTTTTTAATTTGAAATATTTTGTTGAAAATTTTGAACTTTTTTTCAAAGCAATCACGTGGCGTTAGCTGCTTAGAGACGAAATATCGAAGCGCGTAAACGCCGCGTTGCAGTCTAATTTAACTCACTATTAATTAAAATCTTTATAAAATATCTGATAATTTGATGTGCATATGCCAAATGGCTTTTGTTGTGTTTTTCTACTGGATTTCCAAAACCGCTAGACCTGCCTTCCTAAAAATGTAATCAGTTTGGCACTTTTTGTCCCGTATCTTCAAAACGGCTTATCCTGCCTTTGTTAAAACCTAATCAGCACGTCTTCTTACCTTCAATACATGTCAAATGTTTTCTGAATTTTTCAAATTGGTTGACCCATGTTCGCGAAATCGTCGACGAAAATTTGCCAAAATTTTCAGAAATCTTTGAAGATATATAAAAATTTTTGTTTTAGATTTTTTTGCGATTACTATAACTGTATATGAGATTTATTTTTAATCAGATAAATACACCAATTGAAATAGACAAAAATTACACAAGTTAAAACAAACTCTTCGGCAAAAATGGTTTGTTCTCCAGCTATTAGAAAAGCACTAAAATTAAATAATTATCGCGAAAAAGTTTCCTTTTGCCCAACCATTTGATTAGCAAATTTTATGTTTTTTTGATCATTATGAATAAAAAATGGTTGGAAATCACCGACTTAATAACTAATTAGATAAAATTTTGCAATCTGCAAGTGATTAATTAGATTTAAAAAATCAATGTTTATACTAATTTGAGTGCAAAAATCCGAACATCACATAGTAGGTAGACATGGTCTAAAAGCTCGTCCCATTATTCTAAAATTTAATGATTTTGTATAATTAATCATTTATCGTAGTTCCATAAAATTTATGTTAGATGATACTAACAAGTTTTTTTTGAAAAAATATTTTTACAATAAATTACGAAGAACTGTGCGGTCGATCTTGACGAAAAACAATTCAGCACGATCGCCAACTGAAAACTTTCGATCAGTTTTTGAATTTTTAAAATTGGTTCAAAAATGTCAAAAAGTCGTTTTTAAGGACGCTTTAATTTTTTGTCGACGACATAAGAGCGGATCAACCGATTTAAAGGATTTAAAAAAAACATCCGATTCGTGTGGATAAATTGTCAAAGGCAGATTTAGCGGTTTCGGAGATACAAAAAAAAGTTTAAAAGGTTATCAATTTTATTTGAAAGAACTGATCATCCCGATAGAATGTTTAAAAAAATATATTGCTTGTGTTGACGGTGTGAAACAATGATTAGTTTCAAATTAATAGTTTTTGTTATTATCTCATTGTTATTTCTCATTGATCAATTTTTATTGATCATTGATTACTTTTATTCCTCGAATTTTTAATTACTGTTTCGATACGTTAAGATTCCCACTCGTATGTATTTCCAAAAAGAACGATGATTTACATAGTGCTCACATAAGAAATACACAAATATAAGCAACCATAATCTATAGTGTTGACAGACGATGTTAGATAATGTCCATAAAAGATAAAAGAGTAAAATGATAGTGCCTGTAAACCACTAATCACCTTCTTTACTCGCACATCCGTATGAAAATTAACTAAATTTTAAATAATTAAAATTTTTCCGGGGCCTCTTGCGAGGCCCCCCCCAGGCGCGAGGCCGTCGGCGGCCGCCGACACCGCCGACGCCTAGCGCCGCTACTGTATATATATATATATATATATAATTTTTATTATTATTGTATTATATGTATGTATGTTTTATTTTTCAGGAGTCCGAGCAGCCCCTTTGTGGGACTCTAGTAAACAATGTTTCGTTGGAATGTTGACTATAACAGATTTTATTAAAATTTTACAAATGTACTACAAATCGCCTACGATTTCCATGGACCAATTGGAGGAGCACAAGTTGGACACGTGGAGAGGTCAGTATAATTTATATATATATATATATATATTATATATATATATATATATAATTGTGTATTTTATTCTAGATGTCCTGAAGGACCAAGTACCTTCGTTAGTGAGCATCAGTCCTGATGCATCATTATTCGACGCAATTAGAACTTTAATCGAGAACAGAATACATCGATTGCCTGTCATAGATCCCAGTACGGGCAATGTATTGTATATATTAACACATAAAAGGATCCTACGATTTTTATTCCTATATGTAAGTATAAATTATATTCCTAAAAATAAACTAGTGGTGTATGGCATCGTGCTTTAAGGCAAATTGCTGGAACTTCCCGTACCGTAATGAAATGTTCAAGAAATTTTAAACGTTTTCAAATATATTATTACAAAGACTGTAACTTTCATTATTTTTGCTATCTTGATATATCTGAGCAAATCAAATGTAAATCATAAATCAATTTATCTCCAGAACATTAACAATCGTCATTTCATTTCGAATTCAATTTCAAAAAAAAAATAGTTGCCTAATTTACACAAAATTGAAAAAGTGCTCCCGTATAGTCACAGTCTAAACAGCATTTGCAAATGATTCTGTGCGACATTTTCACTTATACTGTGCTTAGCTTGGCGGCATTTTCACATTTTTCAATAGTTTTCACAAAATTGGAAAAGTGCTCCAGGTGAAAGTGGAACAGTCTAAACGCACTTGGGTAAACATTTGCACCAGAGAGGCGCTTAGACTGTGCTTAGCCTGGGTCATTTTTTGAATCTTTAATCCAAAATTACAAAAATATTTTTTGAAAAAAAAAATTATAAACAATTTTTTTTTCCAAAAGCAATTATTTTGTTGAAACAAGCAGAAAGTTCTTTGAATCATTCAAATCGGATGCTTAGTTCACTCAAAAACTGCCATACGATGAGTTCACCAAAATTCAAAATTATAATTTGCGTATCGATTGCAATTTTCCGATAGTAAGAATAAAGCTACAATATTTTGGTGTAAGTATAAATTATAGATAGTTTTATCAGCTATAAGTTTGCAAAATATTGCAACTTAATCGCATAATTAGTTTTTGAGTTATATCTGAAAAACTAAAAAAGTGTTCAAAGTAAAACGTTGCAAAGTCCATACGACGATTCAACAGACTTCTGGATTTTAAAATTGAACTTTGATTACAATTTTTATATAGTAAGAATAAAGATACAAAATTTTTGTGTAAGTACATGTTATAGATAATTTCATTAACTATAACTTTGCCGAATGTTGCAAATAAATCCCATAATTAGTTTATAAGTTATATCTAAAAAACTAAAGAAGTGTCCGAAGTAAAACGTTGCAAAGCCCATACGACGAGTTCAACAGACTTCTGGATTTTAAAATTGAACTTTGATTACAATTTAGTAAGAATAAAGATACAAAATTTTGGTGTAAGTACAAATTATAGATAATTTCATTAGCCGAATGTTGCAAATAAATCCCATAATTAGTTTATAAGTTATGGTTAAAATAGTAAAATAAGTGACCAAAATTGCTATACTCATACAAAATGGATAATGTTTAACTTGAAACGCATTTTACTGAAAAAGTTGTAACTGTAGAAGATTTTGGTATAAAAATAAGATTTACAGAATTTAACTAGCTATAAATTTGTCTCATATTGCAATTACATCAGACCAATAGTTTCTAAATTCTGTTCAAAAAAGTACAACAATGTCCTATGGTTGTTGTATAGATAAATCTGAAAACGTGTTCACAAAGCGTCGGAGACTTTGAATTTGCATTCTGATTGCAATTTTTAAAAAGTATAAGTGAAGATACAAAATTTTGGTGTGAGTATAAGATATAGATAATTTTATTAGCTATAAGTTTGCTGAATATTGCAAACAAATCGCATAATTAGTTTTCAAGTTATAGTTGAAAAATTAAAAAATATTCCCTCGAGAAATGGAAAAATTTTCATTTTCGATTTTCGGCCCATTACTATAACTACCCTACGGGAAGTTAAATATAAATATTTATTATTTATTTATCTTTTATTTCTAGATTACTGAGTTGCCCAAGCCCTCCTATATGCGTAAAACCCTTCGGGAGTTGAGGATTGGAACATTCGACCAAATCGAGACTGCAGATGAAGACACCAGTATTATTTGTGCTTTGAAGAAATTTGTTGAAAGGAGAGTCTCAGCTTTGCCTGTCGTGGATGCTCAAGGGAGATTAGTGGATATTTTTGCTAAATTCGATGTCATTGTAAGTAAAATATAATTATTAACACCAGCGCCGGTCCTGGGTCCTCAGCGCCCGCATGCCATTATTTTCCTAGCGCCCCCCCCCCCTGATTATTTTTACCCTTTTAACAGTTCAATATTAAAAATATTCAAAAATTTTCATTAATTTTTTAAAATATTTTTTAATAATTCAGTGTTAAGTACACATAAATAGATATATGTAAACTAAAAGCGCAAAAATACATTTATTTTAAAATTATTCAGAAGATCATTAGGGAATGCAATACCGATAGAAAATTTCAATACCGGTATTTAGGTAATTTTTCATTTTAAAACCGGAATACCGGTAAATTACCGGTATTTTTATTATCTTCAAGAAACGTAAACAAAATTGAAAGTTACTAGTACAAATATAAAAAAATGTATATACAACTACAACTATATTCAACTAAACAATAAAATAAAACAATAAATTTATTTTTTAAGTAATAATTTAACAAAAGTATATGCAATTTAATTAATTCATTATCACTATCAAGTATATTGAGTACTTTTCACCAAAAACAAACTTATGAGTAAGAAAGACCAAAAACTCATAAAATATCATATTACATTATTATAATAAACTGTATTATCTGTATCCGATGTGTTAAATTAGCATAATTTCCAATATTTAAAAAAAAAATTTCTACACTAATTTAAGATTGGATACTTTGTCGAGATAAATAATAAGTTACTATAATTGTTGAGTATTGTTATTTAAAACAGTGTGATGCTTTATAGTATTTACAAACTTCGAAACGTTGTCGAAAAATAATATTTTATAATTGTAATAAGAAGCAAAAATATTTACTAAGTATCATAATTATAGGGGTAGGGTATTATTAGGCAGGGGTAATCTGTATGATATAAAATATTTTGGCGCAAATATCACTTAAAAAACCGTTATATTTCAGTCCAATTATATTTATTGTAACACGATATGAAGCTTTTTGGAAAGCAATAAATATTCAGATTAATGACGAGTTGAGATAATATTTGACATTTGTTTATCTTATAGAATCACTTGAAGATATAGCTGTTTATGAGATTATGGAATTTAAAGATAAATTTGTTCCGAGAAATTTAAACTTTAGTGTATTATGTATCAAATAGCGCTTATGTAAAATTACCGAAACTACCGGTATTTTTGGGATAAATACCGGTAAAAATACCGCCGAAAAATCGGGCGGTTTACCGGTAATTGGGTATACCGGTATACCGGTATTGCATTCCCTAGTGCTCATTATCCAATTGTAGTATCTTCTATCGTTGTCGCACTACCGAACTATTTTTAAATTTTTATTTTCAATGCAAACATTTCAACACATCCAAAAATTTCAATATGTTATTTATTGCTTGCAAAAATATTCTTAAATTTTCAATTGTTTCTAACGCATGCGTAATATTAATATTTGGGTTTTGAAACATTTTATTTATTTATTTTGAGGATTTTATGTAATTTATTCTATTGAGCAAATCAGAGAGTAAAAAAATTTTAGCCTTTCGTTATTAAACGTAGCATTGGTAGTTTATGTTGGAGTATTTTAATTTAATTTTTCATTATTTAAAATGTCTAAAATTGCATTGTTAACTTCTCCTAATTGATATCATAAGGGACGAATAGTATGTATTCATATTTACTTCCCATTTATCGTTTTAAAGTGAAATTTTTAACGTATTTTATAAAAAATTTTAAGGAAAGTATATATTTCTTGATTGATATTGAAAAACTATATCATAAATTTCATATCCAAATCTCGTTTTGGCGCCCCCTAAGGCGTGCGCCCGCATTTTTGCATGCATTGCATTCAAGGTAGGACCGGCCCTGATTAAGGTACATGTTGTTATAAATATATATTCTAATGTTTTTTTTTTCAGAACCTTGCAGCTGAAAAAACCTACGATGACTTAGACGTAAATTTAAAAACAGCCAACGAACATCGAAATGCATGGTTCGAAGGTGTGCAACGTTGCACCTTGGATGAAACTTTGTATACGATCATGGAAAGGATCGTCAGAGCCGAGGTAAAATAATAACAAATAATAATAAAACAACTATAAACTACAGTAGAACTCCAATTATCCGAACTCCGACTATCCGAATCGCCGATTATCCGAATCACTTTCAGAAAAAAAAATGTCCACAAAAAGTCTAAGTGCGCTATTATTCTTCCACCAGCAAAGCCAGTGTAGGCACATTGTTTGTTTTGATTTGACGGAGATGTTTACAAAACAATGATTTTTATTTCTAAACTTGTACATGAGTACATTTTATTTATATTTAAAACATGTGAAAATGTCATGTTTCTTTCATTTAATTCAATAAAAAAATAGTGCAATATCAAAACGTAACTTTTTTTCTCTCCAATGGCAATTTTAAAAACAAACTCCGATTATCCGAATATTTGATTATCCGAATCGGTCCCGGTCCCCATTAATTCGGATAATTGGAGTTCTACTGTATAACAAATCACAATTCTATATTCAGGGCCGGATTTAGAAATTTGGCGCCCCGGGGCACTGACGAAAATGTCGCACAATCCCTGAAATTTTACGAACTTTCTAACTTTTTTTTAAAGCAATCGCGCTGCTTCAGCTGCGTAGGGATAAAATATAGAAGCGCGTAAGCGCCGCGTCGCAGTCTAACGGATAAACAATGTTACAGAACGCATATAAATGTAAACAAAATGTATACTTATTATTATAATATCTTTAAAATATTTGAATTTAATGTGCATATGTCTGATGATCACTTTTGTCTGCCAAATGTTTCTTTTTCAAATATTTTTATTGGATCATCGAAACCGTTAACCCTGCCCCCCACAAATTTAAACAGTTATTTATTCTGTAAATTTTTTTGAATTATATTGGACGCTTTTTTTCTCAAAACTCAATTATCATTTTTGGCATTTTGGCCCGTATTTTCAAAACAGTTGGACCTGCCTTGGCCAATAACTAATCAGCACGTTTCCTTATCAATAGGAATTGAATCATTTAAATCGGTTGATCCGTGTTTTCGAAATCGACTTGAATAACTGAAAAATATTAGATTTGTATTGATGGGGAAACGTACTGATTAGCTTTTTGCACAGGCAATTACGAAAAATGGTAATTGAGTTTCGATATTTCTTCTCTGAAACAGCTATACAGCGCGATTGCTTTGCAAAAAGTTCATAATTTTCGAAAAATTTCAAAATACAAAAAATGTGTTTTAAAAGTCTTTTTCATTTTTCAAAAAAATTTAAAGCTCTTTATAAAATGTAATTTTCAGTACGGGATCTTCCAGTAATTTGTCTTAAGGCACAATGCCATGAGTCACTAGTTGACATTTTTTTTTCGACGCTATAAGCTTGGAAGTGCACAAATTCGTCATTTTAAAAGAACTCGAGAACTGAAGAATATATTTTTCTTAAACTTTCCAGCTTGTTTACGGATCCTTATATTAGCCAAATTGACAAATTTGATAACTTATTAACCAATTTGATAATTTACGTTTGGAGAGGGAGGCAAGTCAAAATAATAAATTTTAGTTATCGTTTATTTCAATCCAAATTTTGCATTGCAATCGTATTATGTTTTGTTAATTATATTTCGTGAAATAAAAAATGTTGTTAAAAAAAGTTGATTATATCGTATAGATTTTTTTTCTCACTATCCAAATTTGGCCGCACTGGGCAGTAGCCCCGATTGCCCTACTGTAAATCCAGCACTGTCTATATTATATTTCTTTTACCCAGGTGCACAGGCTAGTAGTGGTCGACGAGTCAGAAAAAAGTAGTCGGCATCATATCTTTATCAGATTTGTTACAATATTTAGTACTGAGGCCGAGTGAGAAGAAATCGCAGGGCGATAAGAGTAAACAGGAGGAGCAGGTGCAGCAGGATGGGGAGCAATTGGATGTCGAAATGAAGGAAGACCAAAGTGTTGGTTCGGAGGAAAACGTTGCTGCCAGTGGTGAAATCAGTGAAGAGAAGAAAGAAGTTGAAGTTGATGAAGGTGATAAGGTGGAGAGCTGTTTGGAGGTAAAGTAATTGATTTGTAATATATATATATATATGTATATATATATATATATATATATATATAAAATAGGTTGTCAAATATCTCCCTTCCGCCTTTTTGTATTATAAACCAAGAGCAAAAAAGCGGAAGGGAGATATTTGACAACCTAATATATATGTAAACCTCGTGTCAGGATGTTGGTTCGCGATGGACGCCCAAACTACTGAACCGATTTTAAATTTTATTGGCTCATCGTGTGCGTATATATCCAACTTAGGTTTTAGAAAATTTTGAAAAGTAAATTTAAAATATGAATATATAATTTTCATAAATTTCTAAAAATTTTGACAGAAAATGACCAAAAAAAAAACAAAACACTAAAATGACAAATGTCAAAATTTAAGGAAATTTAGATATATAATTTTTGAAAAAAATATTTGACATTTCAAAAAATAAAATTCAAAAACATGTACATATATAGAAATATCCAACATTTAAATCCAAATTTGATGAGATGCTATATTCAAAATCACTGTTTATAGTTTTAAATCTAATTAAAAACCCATGCTTAAAAATTTGAATAAATGTTGACATGTGAAAAAATTAAATGTCATTTGTCAATATTTATGAAAATAATTATATAAATAGATTTACGATTTAGATTTAATTGATTAGCTTACCAAATTATTTCGGAAACCAAAACTTCATCAAAACATTATAGATCAGAGATCACAATAAAAAAGCGGCATATTGAATTTAAAATTAATCATAAACAAAATTTTGACATTTCACAAAAAAATGTTTAACGACTTACTTCAATAAGAAGCAAATAAATTAATTATTCCAAGTTATGTTATAGGCAATATTGCCAAGCAGTTTATAGATACAAAACATTATTGTAAAATAAATATTATCATATTATATTAATTTTGGACCAAGAAGGAAATATTTTGACATTTTTAAATTTAGTGCATATTGTATATATGAAATTGATATTAACTATTTAAATTAAATGCAAATGTAAAAAATCTGATATTTATATAAAAAATTTATGTTTAGATAAAGATACTGCGTTGATTGAGACTAAAATCTAATTTATTTATTAATTTTAAAAATGACACAAACAAAACGCTATGATGCGAGTGAATTAATTAATTTTGGGAGCATGAAATGTCAAATAATTTTGAAAATTATAACAAGTTTTTAACTATTTGTCATATCCATATCGAGCACCAAAGTAATAAATAATACTTATAAAATGACATATTATTTATAGACAATATTTAATGCATATTTTAATATTTTTTACATTTGCTAATTCAAAATAAATTAAAAATAATTGAAAACAATGTCATAAATCGGATATTTATGGAAAAATATCAAATCAATAAATTTATGTTTCACTTGATTTCAAATAAAAAAAAAACTAATTCCTATGCCAAAATAGATAGTATATTCATCTAAAATTATAGTCTAAATATTACAATTTTGTTAAATAATTATCCAATATTTTACAGTACGAGAACTGATAAAAAAAAATTAATAAAAATGCCAAAAATCAAACATTTTATAGGTTTGGACTCGGATTTCTCAGAATTTTATCCATGTTAGTTTCAGGGATAGTATGAATATCAATTTATAGTCGAAAATTTATATGATAAGTGAAGTGAATAAAACATTATAGATCACAATAAAAAAGCGACATATTAAATTTAATATTAATCATAAACAAAATTCTGACAGTTTCAAAAAAAATGAATTTTTAACGACTTCAATAAGATACAAATAAATTAATTATTCCAAGTTATGTTAGGCAATATTGGCAATCAAATTATAGATATAAATTATATCATATTAAATTTCGACCAAGAAGGAAATATTTTCGCATTTAAAAATTTAGTGCATATTGGATACATGTAATTGACATTCAATATTTTTAAATTAAATGCAAAAGTAAAAAATCTGATATTTATTAAAAGTATTATATTTTTAGATAACGGTACTGCGTTGATTCAGACTAAAATCTAATTTATTCATTGATTAAAAAATATATTTCACTATTTGACATAAATAAAATTAAACTAAACAAAACACTATGATGCGTTGAAATTAATTATCGAAATGTAAAGAAATTTGTGTAATAAAAATATAAGATTATTATTAATATATCACGTATATTATAAGAACTTCTGCAAAGCGGCAAAATATTTTTGATGGCAAAACAGCGTTTGCCGGGTCAGCTAGTATATATATATATATCTATCTATATAATTAACCATTTCTTTCCCCCAGGCTACCGAAACAAACCAACCTCCCCTCAACGGTGACGATGTCTCCTCCGAAGATCCTCAACTCGACACCAAATCACCATCTGCTCTTCTACAAAAGCAAATATCATCCTTTGAGTCTGAGAATTCAGACGATGCATCCACAAACGCTGTCAACTATTCAGCCCTGGACGACAACGCCAGTTCACAGGACGAAGAACAAGAAATTTTAACCAAAAGTTGCAAATTAGACCAAGGTATATTGGAACACACCAAAAATAATGGTCATACTATATTGGAATCGTAAAAGAATGGTAATGTTGATTTTTATAAAGAAGCTTAGTATTTTTTTTAATTTAATTTAGTTTTAATGGCAACAACAAGATGAAAGGTGGTGCTTTTTGTTGTTTATTTAGTATTTGATTATATAAATATGATTTTGCTGAAAGTAGGAAGCGTGAAAGGTTATTATTTAAGATACAAGAGATATATATTAATTTTTGTCTAAACAGATGTTGGGGTAGAATTTAAAGCCACATATAGTTTTGTCTTATTGATTAAATCAGTTTTAATTTAGAATGAAATATACATATTTATATTCAAATTAGCAATTGTAAACTTAATGTGGTAATTTAATTTAATTGATTGTATTATTAGTATTGACTCAAGTACAAAAAATTATATGAGAACTATATTATGCATAATAATAATTGATACAAGATCTTTTATTAATTTAAAAGCAGAGAAAATTTAATATTGCAAAGTTTAATATTGAAATTAATGATTTCATTTTATTACACTTACAATTTTTTGCAAATGAAATTTCACTAAAGACAAATTTATTATCAAACTCAGATATTGAGTTATAAATTTGAATTTATAAAACTAAATAATTTATTAAAAGAGTTAAAATTTTGAAGTTATAAATGCAAATTGGATATTTATATATGTGGCTTTAAGTTCTATCGATGCATTTGTATAAGTTTTTTATGCAATTGTTTAAGAAAAAATGATGTTTGCACAATTGCTTCATATTGTAACAAGCTTTTTGATACAACAGTTTAGTATATAGATATACTTTATTATATATATTATAATTATAAACAAAGAATATTCAACAGTCATACATCCAATTATTGAAATAAAACATGTGTTTATAAAATGTTTAATAAGTCTTACATGCGTTTCGAGTCCTAACTTTACTCTTCTTCAGGTAATAAAACTAAATGCAACATAATAAATATAATATAATATTTTTATTTGCTAAAAAATAAATTACAGATTGTTTGTTAATTTTAGTAGATACTTGAGGTAAAAAAAAATGGCTAAAATATTGTGATAACAACCAAAATAAAAAATAAAATACAACAAATAATACATTCTAAAATTCATAACAAAAATATAATATAGTATGCAAAAAAGCTAGTGAACTTACAGAATTATAAAACAAGCAAAGTTTATATATATAGACAACATAGATAATTAATAATAATAAATATAGAAAAACTTTTTTTAACACATATAAGTTGTACAACAGTCATATTTATTAATAAAAATTATGTAAAGTAATGTAATGCAAGGAATAAAAAAATAATAAAGTAAATATTAACTCTTTTTTCATAAATATGACTGTTCTGTACAAATATTTTGTCTTGAGTGTTTTCTAAAGCATTTGTATAACAAGTTTTCTACATTTAATTTTATTTTTATTCTTGTCATTTTATACATTATTTTTATATCATTTTTGTAGATTTTTTTTGTTTAATTGTGCATTTGTAATTTTGTAAGTTTGTTATATATATATATATATATATATATATATATATATATATATATATATATAATAATTTTGCTGGATATTTATTTATTTACACATATTGCATTCTCATAGTGTTATATACTGAAGAAGAAGGCTGAAGGATTTATCAAATTTATTATTATTATATACTTATTTTTTTAAACATAACTCAGAAGTCAATTTTCGGATAAAATAGAAATGCTATAGTAATGCTATGTTACGGGTCTATATTTGTATGAGTTATTAGTAACAAACTGTCGAAAATCTTTGTTTTTGCGTTTTACTCGAAAAACCTAACTCTTATCAATGAGACATCAGAAAGATGCACTTTTGTAATATGAAATTTTTGTTTCAAGCGTAAGTTAGGTTAGGTTAGGTTTTGTGTGTAAAATTTCTGATCGCATAAAAAAGATACATAGCTTTTAGACATTTTGTTACTACAAAACCTCATACCATAACATAGCTTTATCATAACATTTCAATTCTAAATCAAAATTAGCCCCTTAGTTTTGTATTAGCTGGGTGGATGACAGTTGAAATTACCTTTATGTTTATAATTATTTTATATTTATTATATTTGTACATAAATTCTGTGCATAAATTATTTTTTAATAGTTGCTTCACTACTAAACTTCTATTATAAATGTATTCTCATAGATAATACACGTAATGTTTAAGGTTACTGGATAAAAATTTTATTTTAAGCAATTTTTTCGATCATAATGCTTAAAAATAATTTAACAAATATTACTAGTCTGCGGAAGTACAATAAAACCACAAATATTTTATTTGGAATATGATTTAAACAACTTTAAATTTTAATAAATGAATTTAAATTAATTATTGACAGTTCTTAAAAGATTGTCAATTGTTTGTTTGACAGTTGTCATGGTAACGGTTTGGTAAATTGCTAACTTAACGGTTAACGGTAGAAGTGTGAAGTTTGTGCAAAAATGGCGGCAAACACTTGTCAAAACAATTTTTAAAATTATTGAGTATATTATTATAAACTGCGTGTTATGTGCAAGTTGTTATGAATATCAATAAAGTGTTTGTTATATTTCTAAATAAAGTACTTGTGGTTGTTTTGCTTTTTAGATTTTTACTGTAATTAAGGCAAAAAGTAGTTTGTATGTAATAAGTGCGTTCTGTAACACAATACTAGTGATTTATTATTTAAACCATATCTAGGTAAGAAAATACACACACATATATAAATATAGGATAGGTGGATGATTTAAGCTTTGGTAATTGTGATAAATACCATATTTATACAAGTATTCTCTGAGCCGATAACAAGGACTCTTTCCTCATATGTCAAACTCGATGCATGTCAAAACAGTTTCAAGGTTTCGATAAAGCTTAAAATCAAATTTGTACCTGAAGTTCAAACATTGACGAAAGACTCCAAAAAATCGGCTCATAATGATAATTGATACATCTATATATTAGTTCTTTTGCTGAAACCTGGTCTTTGTCGATTGTCGTTACATTGATGCAGTCCTTTTATAATGTTAGAGAGATTTGTAAATAATTACAATTTTATACTGTTACCTGTGAACCCAAATATTACGCGACTCATTGATTTCCTCAGTCGACCAAAAGTGGTGTTTCGTATGTTATTGAAATAAGTTGTACATAAATAAGTTGGGAAAAATCAAAATGGCCTTAAAAAAGCTTCTACCATATTATTATGACTTGTGTCTCAAATCGGACGAATGTTGGACTTTAGTAATAATAATAATATTATATACTGAATATATATTACTGAATTTAATATTAATGATAAAAGCATTGCTGCAGTGTGATTCGACAACTTATTATACATGTAAAGAGGAAAATTATGTTTATGCCAAATTGGAAAAATATAATTCATATTAATTATGATGGTGATGAGTTTGATTTAATATATTATTAAGTGGTAAGAACTTATCATAGATATTTTAATTTTTAACTTTCCGTTATAGTAATCGCAAAAAAATTGAAAACTAGTGGTGCATGGTATCGTGCCTCAAGGCAAATTGCTGGTATTTCCCGTACTGTAATGAAATATTCGAGAAATTTTAAACGTTTTCAAATATATTATCACAAATACTGTAACTTTCATCATTTTTACTACCGTGTTATATCTGAGCAAATCAAATGTAAATCATAAATCAATTTATCTCGAATTTCGAATTCAATTTCAAAAAAATAGTTGCCTAATTTTCACAAAATTGAAAAAATGCTCCTGTATAGTCACAGTTTAAACGCAAATAATTCTGTGCAATATTTCCACTTATACTATGCTTAGCTTGGCGGCATTTTCACATTTTTCACTAGTTTTTCACAAAATTGGAAAAGTGCTCCAGTACATAAACAGTCTAAACGCACTTGGGTAAAGCATTTGTACCAGAGTGGCGTTTAGACTGTGTTTAGCCTGGGTAATTTTTTAAATTTTTAATCCAAATTTACAAAAATATTTTTTGAAAAAAAAAAAAAACAATTTTTTTTCCACAAGCAATTATTTTGTTGAAACAAGCAGAAAATTCTTTGAATCATTTAAATCGGACGCTTAGTTCTCTCAAAAACTGCCATTTTTTTATCATTTAGATCTGTATCTCCGAAACCGCTGGACCTGCCTTTGCCAAAAACTAATCAGCACATCTCCCTATCAATAGGGATCGAATGTTTTTTAACTTCACGTAGGGTAAGTTATTGTAATGGGCCGAAAATTACATGTCGGAATTGAAAAAATGGATGTGTGTGTGTGTGTGTGTATGTATGTATGTATGGATACAAATTTTGGCCCACGTTTTCGGGCGTACGGATCAACCGATTTGAATGGTTCAAAATACATTCGATTCCTATCGATAGGGAGATGTGCTGATTAGTTTTTGGCAAAGGCAGGTCCAGCCATTTCGAATATACGGAGCTAAATATTATTAAAATGGCAGTTTTTGAGAGAACTAAGCGTCCGATTTAAATGATTCAAAGAACTTTCTGTTTGTCTTAACAAAATAATTGATTTTGGAAAAAAAAAATCTCAATTTTTTTTATTTTTTTATTTTTTTTTAATTTTTTAGCTTTGCAATTCAGTTTATATAATTCTTATAAATATTAGACAAGGTTACAATATTTATAATAATCTACTTTAAAACATTTAATATTCCTCGATCATCTCGTTACGGTACGGGAAGTTCCAGCAATTTGTCTCAAGGCACGATGCCGTAATTGCCTTAAGACAGAATTCCACTTACAGCTAGTTTAATCATTCAAATCGGTTGATCCGTGCGCCCGAAAACGTGGACGAAAAAATGCGGACATACAAAACACACACACACACACACACACATCCATTTTTTTCTGAGATATGCCAGTAAAATGTTCAGAAACCTTCAAAACGTCGAGAAATGGAAAAAAATTTTCCATTTTCGATTTTCGGCCCATTACTATAACTACCCTACGGGAAGTTAATAATTGTAAATAATTATTTATTGCATATAATATGGTATATTATATAATTCAACTTTAACCCTCCGTCGGTTGGATATTTTTTCACCTTCGAACGGTCGGAAAGGTCTGGCTGGACCACCATTCATTTTACATGCATTTATATGGGATAAATGAGTTTTTGGGAATTAACGATTATTATTAGTAGTAAATATTTATAGTTTAGATTTTTTCTTTTTACGGTAAGTCTTTTGCATGTGTTGAGCTTGCTTATAATAAAAATATTACATATTATATTATATAAAAAAATCAAGAAATATAAAAAAAATCGTTGCTTTTTTGTTAATTTTTCTGTTTTATATCAATGAAAAACAATATACGTGTATATTCTTTTTCGGCGCCTTTGAAATGAATGTGAAATTCAAAGTGAAAATATAATTTCACTACAGGTTTGGCAAAAAAAAATTTCGAACGCAGTACGGGTAGAAAAATTGTTCATAATGTGTGCATTACTCATCCGATTTTCAGTGTTTGCGATTACCAATAAGTTTGGTGGGTTTTCAAGGAACTCTCGTCATGAAAATACTAACATTCATGCTACAACACATAGCAAAGAATATACACAACGTAGTTTGAATAGAAAATACCATGAAAAAAGATAAAATACTGGTTTACATATATCAAAAAGCGATTATTTCATACAAAATGTATGGGTGGTCTAGACAGACCTTTCCGACCGTTCGAAGTATAAAAAAGTTAATATCCTTATAATTATCCTTCTGTACAGTTTTTCGTTCTGATTTTTTCATTGATCGACAGCTAATGAAATTTTAGGAAAAGTCAAAAAAATTCGAGTCGATAGGATTACTAGAAGTATTTTTTTTTTTGTTAATTGAAGTCGAAAAAAGTTTGGCCAGACCACGCCGACCGACGGAGGGTTAATAAAGATTTTATCGCAATTATGTTTAAAATCTTTTTTTAAATATTCCTAAGTGTTGAAAGCTATTTTTCATGTTGAAAAAGTACTAGTAAAATTATTAAAGCTATGCTTTATTCAGTTCATCAGTAAATAAATCATCATCAAACACCGTACAAGTACAATTACTGTACCGATTCAGTCAAAACGCAAATGGAGTTTAAATTTAAATTTTAACGTTGTTGGCGCGCCTACATCCATATTCATTCAATTTTTATTATGTTGGCAACACTGTTTCGAAGACATCGTGTGCTCTGTGCTGTCAAAAAGTCTTCTAATCATTTTAATATTTCTACTGTCTAGGCACATAGACCTAACCTACAATTATAGCGACAGTTAGTGCATTCTGGGCAACAGGTCAGTGTTTTATATTCGTGTTTTATTATATTTTTATACATTCTAATTACCATAACGTAATTACGTTATTTTACGTCATAAAAAGTATAGCAGATCATAAAATAGTAGCACGAAAAATTTCATACAATTTTGAATTTTTCTGTTAAACGTCTTGTTGTTGAGGAAAGTTTGTTTGTACATCATTACTTTTTTGTGTTAACAGAATATATGACATAAGTGTACGACGAATTTTAACAATTAAAACCGAATCTTTTCCTACTTTGGCGCTTATTGCTTAGAAAAAATGCCTAGACCAAGAAGTCAGAAACGACATCGTGCCGATGAGGATTTCGATTTTTCACAAACACAAAATTCAAGTCAAACTCAATCCTCTGCCGTAAATGTAGATGATACAGCATTGCAAAACTACGTATCTGATGCACTAAATTATATTTTATATGCAGCAGATAATTCAGCTTTAATTAAAAGACAAAACATTATTAAATATGCTCTCGAAGGCAATACTAGGATATGCAATACTGTGTTGGAGAAGGTTAAAGAAAATTTAAAGGAAATATATGGCTATGAATTAAAAACTGTAGATTCCGAAAAACCTCCTTCACAACATCAGTACTTCTTACTTAATTTGATTAAACCTTATTATCCTGGCTTGCAATTCACTGACGAGCAAAAACATGTAATGATACTTCGATATATGATTCTGGTGCATATACACATGTCTGGAGGGAAATGTACGGGTGATTCATTAGAAGAATTTTTAAATGAATGTGGTCTCCCAGTAAATGACAGCAGCAATGGTCCTTTTGGGAGTATTAAAAAACAAATTGCTGAATTTCAACAGCAAAATTATATAGTTGCAACTGACGAGAGTGACGGCAAGACTTATTATGCTATTGGATATCGAGGACAATGTGAATATGATAAAGAGGATTTGGAAAAATGGTATTTAAAAATGGTGAATGAAGGTGATAATCAAGTAGAAGGTGCTGATGATGGCAGTGATGAAGAGGAAAATGAAGGTGAAAATTGATGACTAAAGAGAATTTAAATTCAAAGAAGGAAAATCTAGAAAATACAACATTCTATTTATATATTATTAATTTATGTTATTTTCCATTATCAAATGGACTTCATCCAAAGAAAATTCTTCAGGTGCTGTAAAATCATTTATAGCATTTATTATAAAAACTCATTGTATAATTTATAATACGAATATGTTAAAACTTAATGCAATACCATTGTAAATTCTTCTATATAATTTATTTTTTGAACTTAAAAACACTATGAACCATTTTAGCATATAAGTAAAAATTTAAATCTAAATACATTTCATCTTCAGATTTTCTACAAAATCACTTCAAATTACTAATAAATGCATAAATAAATTTTAAATGTTTGTTTTAAATAAATAAATTACACCATTTATAGCTTTGAGAAATGTATTTTTTATTAAATATACATGACAAATATATTTGGGATAAATCTTAATGCTATAATCAAAAATTCAAGTCTTCACATTTTTTGGTTTTAAGTACACTATCCTATTTAATATATTTATAATATAATATAATATAAAATAATTGACATAAAAATTCATTCAGATACAAATTCATAAATAAATAAATATATTATTTGAAAGAGATAGGCCTTTCCACCATTATAAATAGGAATATTAAAGCTTTCCATTACTATTAGAGCATTTCAACAATCACAAATGGATATTTCATAGTATTAAAAATATTGAGAGCGAACACTTTAAGTACAAATTACATACTTATAAATAAATATATATATATATATGTGACTAGATTTATCATTTTCACGAGCTGCAACTGTAGCAGTGATCATGATGACTTCGAGAGGAACTGTAATGACCGTTTGACTCGTTTGCCTCAGATCTAGATGTAGACGGGTTTGGAACGTTTGAGTCTTTTGGATGTATAGGAAAACAGCACCAGAGAATAAACGCTACAAAGGCTACCAGAGTGCCTACTAAGAGTATAAAATCTTCAATTGTCTGAAAACACAAAGCACATTAATAAATATATATTTATTTGTGTCATGAGTCTATTATCCACTTACTGGTTCTTCTCCAAGCAACACATGATTGATAAGGTATGCAAAATCGTCTATAGGTGTCATTTTGATACAAATCTATCCTTATTTTTCTTTATCTAATTATTTCTTTTTCATTTAATTATGAAAAGTGAGGTTATGTAAACGCATTTTGTGCAAATTTCTCTTTTTCAAAATAAGATACAGTACGATGTTTATTTGTCAAGTGCTATAAATTAGGTTATTATATTCCTGTTGTTGTTTATAATTGTCGGTAGTATTTACATTTGTTTTTAGATTTATTTATTTCTACATGACACTTTGTTGATGGTGACAGTTGAGCGAAAGAGTTTTGTAAATGTTAGGCGTTTGGCACACGTGTGAAAAAGTGATGGGGATTGCTATTATTAGATATGTAATGATAGATGTTTTTATAAATTTTAATACTTTAATAATAATTGAATAATATTGTAATATAATATATTAAAGATTATTTTAACAAAAAAAATATTTGCTAGACTTTATGAGCAATATTTTATTATATTGAATTAATATAAAAAAGAGTACGCGTAAGGATCACACGCGATTGAAGTAAAACTTATTTGCTACTGTACAGAGTAAGCAAATTTAAATTAAATAAAAATAAATACATCATATAACAATTTTGAATAATGTTTATTAGTAATAGGTGGTAACACTCGTGATGCACACATTTATTAGTGTCGTCAATCATTATACACATTTATATAATAATAAATTATATATTTATGATTGCATTAAAAATATGTATAATATTTACAAACAATTATGTTATTAAAGTAATACTTGAAACATGACATCATCGGTTTAAAGTAATTGCTGATTAATGAATTCTATAATATTCGATCACACAGTGTATTATGTTAAACAACGCCTCAACAAATATTGTTTTCGTAACTTCACTCATCGTGTAATTATTATGTTTGAAGAACTTCATGTAATTAAAATTAACATACATTCATTTACTGTTTGTATTTTTTTACTTTTTCGCTGGCGATATAATCTCATTCTTTGAACAGCTGTAATATCTGTCTTGCCTAAAAAATTGAAGCCATACTTTTATATTTGTTTTATTTATCAAGCCCTGCACATAGCTTGATCTATGAATCATTTTCTTTTTCATGTGAACGTTAATGCAATGATCATCATCAATATTACGAGGTAATAAATTAACTATATTTTAACGTCAACCGGCACATTTATAATTTGTCCAAATATTCCAAATTGTCCATTTGCATGTCGCAATCGTCTAATTTGCATGAAACACAATCTAGGTGAAATTAATCTTTCAGATACAGTATGTAGTTTAGGTAAATAATCTGGTATAGGTGGAAATACAAACTCGTTAAATTCACACAAACTGAAAATTTTACCCGAGTTTAATGCCTTTCGACAAGTTTGACATCCAACCTGATTATTTGTATCAATATTCAGAAAACCATTATTAAGAATTTGTTTTTGAGCATCATTTGATATTTTTAAGTCACTTTGAAAGCTATCATTTGTAAATTGTTTTTCAACTAATTTTCCTGCATTCCTAAACAAATGGAAGTCTTTATATGGAGGTTCAAATACTGCATTTGACTCTTGCAAAAAAGATCGATTCTTGTCACATTATTAGTCACATTATATGCAGAATCATTAATTTGCAATTGACGTGATGTAATTGGTGTATCAGAAAAAGTTACAGCAATACTTTCATCTAAAAAGATAACAGAATAATATGTTTAAATGTGAATAGTTGAAGCGTTTTTCAGGAGTCAAATAGCAAAAAAAAAATTCTTACTTATGTCATTGGTGTTGACATTAACATCTAAATTGATACCTTGCTCAAAATTTTCTAATAAATTGACAGTAACCGATTATTTTCCTGCAGTTGTTTTGTTTAACGATGTAATCTTGATCTTTCAGAATTTGTGAGAGGCTTTGTACCTGCATCAATATTTATAATTACTATTATAATAAATTAAAATTAGCCTTTATAGCTATCATGAAAGAGAAACATGTAAACTTTCTTTAAATTTCCAATAAAGAAATATTGTTTTCACAATTTCACTTATCATGTGATTGTGTTTGTAGAACTTCATTATTGACTGCTTGCTGGCAATTTGGTGCCATACCAATGATTCCGACTGGTCTTCCGTTTGACTTCAAACGATTGCAATTTCCAGTTCGCCTTGCGTTCGCAATAACAATTAACAAATCGCAAGGCCAATCGCTTAGTGTTTGCGGAATAAATTTCAAATAGATTATTCAGAAAATCTTTCTTTTTTACATGGTCAAGAAAATTAGTGGTGGTAGTTCACGAGTTGGAAAGCCATCCGCTTTGTTTGTGTTAACGTCAGACCAGAAAACAAAAAATGTGGTTTACCAAAGAGCACTTCAATGAAACGGATAATTTGCGGATTCACTATCATTTACTTAGAAAAGTTCAACTGAAAAACACTTCATTTTTGTAATCGAAATAAATTCATTACTGTTGTGTAATAAAATCAAATTTTTTCTTTTCAAATATAAAACAAACAAAAATTTCTTCATCTTTCTCACGAAACCATCTGGTGGCGAAACGGAGTTCGTCGGGTTTGCTAGTATTTTTATAAAAATATTTTCCATTTTAGTAATAACCTCAAAGGTATATAGTAACCTCGAAAAATTTAAATAATACATATTACTTCAATAAACTAACATTTCTTACGCAGCGCATATTTTTCCTTTGTTTCATTATTTGCGATCATTTGCACAACAATTATTTATAGGGGCCGGGATAAAATATTCTTCCGATCCTGACATTTTTATTAACTCACAATTTAAACCACTATTTAACCTTAAAATGTTTTGAAATAACGCCGGAAATTTGAACAATATGCTTCACGCTTTCGGTGACGTACGCACGTATAAAGTCACGCATACAAAGAAGCCTCGCACAAATACGACCAATCAGAATCGACCCGTATAGAAATCATATCATCATGAGCGAATGATATGACTCTCACTTCACGTTGGCGTAACAATTTCCGTTGCATTTGTACGGATTTACACCCATGTCACGCCTAAAGAAGTTTCACTTCAAAAAAAACATATTCTTCAACTATTTTCTTCACCTCTGTCATTTACCCCGTGTGCCGGTACCCTAATCTCACACTACCAACCTTCGAAGCTCTAAATATCCCAACTCTCGCCGCAAATCTCTCGTCCGCTCGAAATTCATTCGGTTGTTGACGCGTGATCAGTGAACTATGAAGTGTTTGTCATTTTACGTGTTGTGACGAGACTTTTCGACGAAAAAAACAAAAACAGTTAAAATTATTAATAATATTTTAGAAATTAACATTGAAAACGATTAGGAAAATGTTTCAAAAGTGTTCTAGTTCGATAAGTAAAAGTGTATTGTTAATTTTAGCGGTGGGATTATGCACGTCTCTAGCGATACAAGGTAATAATTGATAATGGTAATAATTGACACATGGAGGAATCAAATTCAGGTTTTTGTAATTTAATTGTAATAATTGACGATATTTTTATATCTGTTGGTGTTTTATGGAGTGCCGAAGGCGTATAGTCACCAAATGCTTTGGTTGCATGTTTTTATTGTTTTTTTACAAAGTGAATGTGTTTGACATTTTTGCATATTTGCATATATTTATATATAATCTTAATTTTGATTTATTCATCAGGAAGAGAGTATATCTTCAAATTTGAAATTTGAAGTTCTAAACTTCTGATGCTAAAATATGTCTCTTAGGTTACAATATGTATCGAGCCTTTCAAGCAAAAGTTATGATATGATACATCATTGCCTTCTGTTCTATGTTAAAGTTACTGACACATTTGTTTTCTATTTCGAGACTTTATTGGAGGAAATTATAATATAAAAGACCACGAGAGAAACACTGGAATATCCGTTTAAACTTTTGTTGTACCCAAATAAAAAGTCTG